GACTGATGCTGAGTGAAGTGAGCAGAACCAGGAGAACATGATACACCATAACAACCACGTTGTGTGATGACTAATATTGATAGACTTAGCCCTTCTCAGCAATGCAAGGATCTAAGACATCTCCAAAGGCCTCATGATGGAAAATGCTATCCACATCCAAAGAAAGAACTATGAATTTTGAATGCAGATTGAAACATACTATTTGCTCTTTTTTTTTCTTTTGTTGTGTTTTGTTTCCTCTTTCTGGTGGTTCCTCCTATTGGTTCTAATTGTTACTTATGACGTGAATAATATAAAAATATGTTTAATAAGAATGTATATATATAGCCTATATCAGATTGCACGCTGTCTTGGGGAGGGAGGCGGAAGTGACTGTTGAGAAATCAAAATAAATTTAAAAAAAAGAAAAAGGGGTTAAAGACTTACAGCCCGAGGCCACATGTGGCCCTCTAGGTCCTTGGGTGCAGCCTTTTGACAGAGTCCAAGTTTTACAGAACAAATCCTTTTATTAAGGGGATTTGTTCTGTGAAGTTTGGTCAGTCAAAGGGCTGTACTTGAGGACCTGGAGGGCCATATGTGGCCTTGAGGCTTCAGGTTCTCCACCCCTGAGTTAAGACAAGTACATAAACATACTACCTAATAAATTAAGCTTCTTGTCAGGATGGATAAAGATTGGACCTCTAAAGTGGTTTCCTCTTGTGAAGGCAATGGGACTTGTTCTTATAGAAGATAAATAACCTGAGAGAATATGTGGTACCAGCCAAAGTCAGATGTGGCCTTCTACACATCAATAAATATTTACTGATTGACTCCACAATCCATAACTGAGATCTCTCTCACCATAACCTCCTATTCTAACCTCAACCTCCAGTCATTCCATCCTTGCCTGCTCCTGATTCTCCTCCCTTTAAAACCTGACCATATTGTTAATGTCCTTGATCAACCTTTGAATCACCTGGTCCTACTATTCTAATTGTTGCTCAACTATTTCAATGTAATCTCTCAAGGACCTTATATTCCAATGAATCCATCCCAGCTCCTGATCATGTTTGGGCTAGGTCCTCCATGCATTTATGTTGAATAATTTTAACTGGGCCACTATTGCACCGCACCAATCTTTTCAGTAGTCCCAGACTGACTTTCTAGTGAACTCCTCAGTGTCTGTTCTAAACCTTTTCTTAACACACCCACCTTTGGTACCCTTCTTCTCTCTAATCAGCGGACCTCAAATCATATTTCACTTTAAAAAATGAAGTTCTCCATCCTGGGCCTCTCCCTCCTACACTAAATAACCTTGATATCATCCCAAACACTCCTTTTCATCTTTTTATATTTTTATCCCTGGCACCTAGCACAGTGCCTGGCATAGTTTGTCGCTATTGTTTAGTCAATTTGCCCATGTCCAGTTCTTCTAGAAACCCTATTTGGGGTTTTCTTTTATTTTGGGGGTGTGCGTGGAGGGAGGCAATCAGGATGAAGTGACTTGCCCAGGGTCATACAGTTACTTAATGTTAAGTGTCTAAGGCCAGATATGAACTCAGGTCCTTCTGACTCCAGGGCTGGTTCTCTATTCACTGTACCACCTAGCTGCTCTCCATTTGGTGTTTTCTTGACAAAGATACTGAAGTGGTTTGCCATTTTCTTCTCTACCTCATTTTACAGCTGTGGAATTAAGGCAGAGTTAAGTGACTTGCCCAGAGGCACACAGCTAGTGTCTGAGGCTACATTTGAATTTGGGTCCTCCTGACTCCAGGATTGGCCCTCTATCCACTATGCCAACTAGCTGCCCTTAACTGGTGCTTAATAAATGTTTACAGAATAAGAAATATATGCAATATATAGAATAAGAAATAAATGCTTATAGAATTAACGAAAAGGTTGTTTTGTTTTTCCAGAGAGAGAAACTGATTCTCCCTGGCACATCTCCAATTTCTTATGACACCCTGTCTTCTAAACTCTCACTCCCAAGCTGGTTCACCCAGCAATCAGCAACTCTCAAGAGCCCCAACTCCTAAAAATTTCAAAATTTCCACTGGGTCCCAGTAACATATATAGCATTCCAAACGCAGGTGTACACCGACCCTCCTTCACTTGGACGGGCAAGTGAATCACTTAAAAAAGAAATCAAGGGGCAGCTAGGTGGTGCAGTGTATAGAGCACCAGCCCTGCAGTCAGGAGGACCCGAGTTCAAATCCGGCCTCGGACACATAACATTTACTAGCTGTATGACCCCGGGCAAGTCACTTAACCCCACTGCCTAACCAAAAAAAAAAATAATAATAACAATAACATGAATGTACTTCCACAATGTGCTCTACTCCAGGTATCAAACACACCATTTTAAAACTAAATATTTGGCCCACATGGACCCTTATATACATTTTAGTGGACTCTGTTTCTATTTGAGTTTGACACCACTGCTCTAGGCAAATCAATATCGTATGCAACCTCCATATTATATGTTTCTGCTTTCACATTCTTTTAAGTGAGACAACAGATATTAACACTAAACTTGTGTGTGGCTAAATTCTCATCTACAAATCGGCCCAGTTTTTTTGAAAGTAAACATAATGGAAAACTGATTGTCCAATTACAATCTAAAACAAAGGAATATGCTAATTTTCTCCTGCAATATTAGGGCATCCAAGAAACATAGTCCCAGAACACATAGGGTATCCAAATACACTCTAAACAAAGCCTCACTGAATAGTCCCCTCCTTCAGGAACTACCCTATCCCCAACTTACACTTGAAGGTTTGGTTCCTTGGAGGGATGACTTGCTATCTTGGGTCCAAAGGGTACTCTGCTCTGTAGGCTGGTACTCCAAGTCCACGAGCCCTAAATCCTAGCCCACTAGCTCTCACCAGTGAGCTTACCATTAGGTGAAAGCAAAGACATTTAAAGCTGACATCAAAAAACAAGTAACTACAAAACCCTTCCTACATACACAGGAAGAATGGGAGGGTGGAAAGGTATGAAGGAAGGAAGGATTTATTAAGTTCCTATGTGTCAGGCATTATGATTTACAAATACGATCTCATTTGATTCTCCTATCCCTACTTTACAGCAGAAGAAACAGACAAACAGAGGTGACACAGCTAGTGTCTGAGGCTGGATTTGAACCAAGACACCTCGGAGTGGGAAAAGTGGGCCACAAACTGAGAGTACACACAATTCATATTTCAGCACAGCTGAGCACTTGGGTTCTTTCACCATTCTACTTCTTGCTGGGCTTGACAGCTAAACTGGAAAGGCAGCTCCACTCTCACCTTGAGTTTGCTCATCACTGGGAACAGAAAGCTCCTCAACGGGCAGCTACTGTTTCTACCACCTAATTTAGCTGAACGCAGCCAAAATTCAGAAGATAAGGATCTGCACTTTTTCAGAAAAAGTCCAGATCCTTACCCTAGGGCTCTCAGAAGCTTCCCAGGTGTGCTCTTTTGGGGCCTCTGCTCTGAGACCTACCACCTCCCAGACTGCAGAACAGGGAGCAGGATCATTTCAACAAACTAAAAGACTAAAGTTTAGCATCTTTCAATTCTTCTTAGAAAAGGGCTGAGTCCCTTTGGCCAGACTTAACATCAACTTTCAGTGACAATCCCATATATCTCTCAAATGTTCATCCCCGCAGGCCAAACAATAACCATTTTTGTCCAAAAATCAACAAACACCTATACAGTTCAGGGTTCCCTAGTTTTTAAAGTACTTTAAATCTCTTGGTGGTCTATGCAAATGAGATAGGAGAAGGTATAAAAGCAAGCTATTCCCTGGCTAGTAGTTTCACATCCTTTGCAGAGGGCACACGAGCACACCCAGTGGCATGCTCTTTCCACAGCACAAAATGGTCCACTCCAAATCCATTAAAAAAAAATCACTCTTTCTTTTTTGGAATGCTATATGATGCTAACAACCAAATCTGATCCCAAATTAGAAATGAGAAAATTCACCTCCTTCACTTCGTTACAAAGGAGAAAAGCAAAAGGTGTGGTACGAGTGGAAAAAAAGCTCATTCAGAAATCCTATCTGAATGAGACACAGCTTCCATCTGATCTCTGGTTATTACAGGGACTTCACTTGTAAGTTCACTGCATAGGGAACTCTCAAATGAAACTCCCTCTACCAACGCAGGGACCTTCTCTGACAGCTATATTCTTATAAAGTTGCCTAGGGCACTGAGAGGTTAAACGACTTGCCCAGTGTCACACAGCCAGCATGCCTCAAAGGCAGAATTTGAATACAGGTCTTCCTGCTTCCCGCCAGCTCTCAATCCGCAGCGCCAGGATACAATTTTGCCAAAGGCAAGCCCTTTTTACACTTCTAAGCGACTCCAATAAATGAGTTCCCACTCCCATTCCCCAATTCTCCAAAAGGACCGCTCTCCCTCTCAACTCCTCCTACATAAAATTAAAAAAACTATCCCGGCGCCCCCTTCCCGCGCATGCGCAGAAAGCCCCGGCAGTCACCAGAATCCCCCGCGGGGAGCCTCCACTAAGCTCTGGGGACACTCTCCTTCCCTATACCCACTTGCCGCTCGCCTATCGAGCCCCTGAAGACATGCCTCCCGACGTCTGGCTCCCCCACTGCGTCCTCACTCCGCTTCTTCACCGGCTCCCAACAGCAGCTCGGGTGGCGCGACCCACCATCTCAAACCTCTGCCTCCTCGGCTGCTCCAGGCAGAGCCTTAGACTTCCTCACAGGTCCTGGCAGAGCAAAGTGAAAGCCCCTCAGCCCGCCGCCTCAGCCCGGAAAAATCCTCCGCCAGCAGCTTCCACGGAAGGATTTCTTCCACATTCCCTTGGGCAAAAGGAATGTCCTCCGCTGCCTGCCTTAGCCGTTTCCCCACTTCTTTTCGTGCTGTTTTGCCACGTCTAGGACCTGGGCGGTAGTAAACGGTGGCTGCGCCTGCGCAGCAGGAGAGCCTAAGCGAGGAGTCCAAGCGTGTTCGTTCTGAGTCTGCGCGGTTCCTCCCTCCCCCCACCCCCCTCCCCGTTTGGTATCGCGCGTACTCTCTCCTTGCCAGGCTGGATTTAAAGGGCCAGTTTCCCTGCAACCTGGCTTTTAAAAAATCGCTTCTTTGTCGTCGCTATCTGAGGTTGGGGCTCGGTAGCTTAATATGGGACAGTGGTGGCGGCGGCGGCAGCTGCTGCTGTTTTGCTTCCTCCTGCTTGCATTGAGGAGCTGTTCTGGGAAGCAAAAGAAAAAAGAAGAGGAGGAGGAGGAGCACCTACCCAGCAAATGCGAAGGTAGCCTGGGCATCCTTCCTCCCCTCCGCCGGACTGAGGCGTGCCAAGGATGGTCCCTGCGCTCCTGAGGCCGGATCGGTTGGGATCTGAGATGGGGGCAGGGAGTTTGTAGAAGGGAAAAAAAGCGGGGGTGGGGGGAATGGAGACTGAAGCTGACTGTGTGGTCACAGGCAAATCACATAACCTCTCTGAGCTTGTTTACCCATCTGTAAAATGGGCATGGTATGTATCCCACCTATGGACCTGGTTGTTGTGGGGGAAGCGTTTGGTAAACTTTAAAGAACTCTGTTGCTGTCATTCTCCTTCCCGTCACTGCTGTCTTAGCTTTTCCGGGGCACTGGGATTTAGGGGAATTGGATCTGGGTGTGAATTCTGGCTTAGTCACTTGCAGACCTAGCCCCTTAAGTTCTCTTGCGCCCTCCTTTCCTTATCTGTAAAATGGTGATGATGATGGTTGAATTACTTTGTTCTCTGGGCCGTTGTGAGGTTCAAGTAGACGTAAAGGACTGTGTCAACTAAAGCCCTAATAAATACTGGCTATTGTTTGTTGTTGTTCAGTCGTGTCCAACTCTTCATGACCCCGTTTGGGATTTTCTTGCCAAAGATAATGGGATGGTTTGCCATTTTCTTCTCCAACTCATTTTACAGATGAGAAAATTGAAGGCAAACAGGGTTAAATGACTTGCCCAGGGTCACACTGTAAACACAGTGTTTAAATGTCTGACTCAAGTCTTCCTGACTCCAGGCCTGGAGCTCTATCCACTTAGCCACCTAGTTGCCCACTGGCTATTTTTACTCTAGTTTATTTAAATAGTTCTTTGGTCCATCTAACAGGGAAATTCACCACTCTTGTGAGCCTCCAGTCTCGAGCAGAGCCCAATTCTAGTGCCTTACTGTGGCAGTGATGAGTTTTTGAAGGCTGTACAGATGGAGTTTAAGATGTAGGATGCCCTACGGCATGAGAAAGGCTTCAAGTACAAGTCCGGCAAAGAACTCAGCCTTTCATCAAAGGACCAGCCTAGCTAAATTAGGAGTTTATTACTAGGTTGGGCCAGTAGCTATTTTTGCAACACAGTAACTCATAAAGATCAACTACTAAGATACAAAGGGGTTGTGTTCTGCATTGAGAAAGGGAGTATTTCCCACTTGGACAAAATCACAGTTCCTTTAAGTGTATAACGTTGTATGCAACGTTCTAGGCTCATGCCCTAGAACTGATGGAGACTGTGATTGAAGCCTACCAGTTTGGAAGTGGGGTTTGAAGAAGTGTATTAGAGCTGAAAAGGACCTTGGAAATCTTTTAGGCCCCATGGCAGCAGTTGTGAGAATCCTGCCCTGTCCCACCCTAGTTTGGAAGCTTCCAAATTAGAAGAAGCCTTTTGGCTCCTTGGAGAGAGGAGGTGATTCAGCCACTCCTTGATGCCCATAAACTAGCAAGGAAGAATGAGGGTAGTTGTCACATTGCATAACTGCCTAACTGGGGGATATTTGGGAAGGATATCCCCAAATAGTTTTGGACTGTGGCAGAAGTTGTAAACTGTATGGACTTCATCCTACACTGATTTGCCTATGGTTGCACAGCTAGTGTCATTTTCCCTGGTGAACTCAGTGTTACTAATGCAATTCATTGTTTCAGAAGGTCTGATTTCATAAGTGTGGCTCTTCAGTTGATGCAGAAGGCAGCCCATTCCCCCTCCCTCCCCACAACACACCCCTTTAATAAAACTTCTTAAGAAGTTTTGGCAAAAAAACCCAACCATCTCCTGATAGTCAACATTATGGTGATAAGCCTCTTCCCATTTAGGCTGGTTCTTGGATAACAAACTTACACCATCTGTTACCAAGGCTGTACTTCATGGTCTTCAAGAGCCCAGAACCACCATGAAGCTTCAGAGTAGGATGCTAAGGTATTATTGATGTTAATAATAATAACAAGTAGCATTTAAAAAGTATTACTGTTTACAAAATGCTTTACAAATATCTCATTTTAGCCTTATAACAGATTTGGGAGGTGATATTTTACAAATTGGGAAACTGAGACAGAGGCTAAGTGACTTGGATGAGGTCACACAGCCAATAAGTATCTAATGCTGAATTTGAACTTGGATCTGTCTTGACTCTATGTCCTGTGTTCTACCCACTGTAATAACCAGTTGCCCTCATCACATAAGTGGAGTAAAAAAAAGTGCAATAAGACAAACATTTCTTTTGCCTGTATCGTGGGATCAAGTGAGATAATATTTGTAAAGCTCTTAGTACAGTGTCTGCAAGGTACCTAGTAGGCAGTATATAAATGTTTATTCCCTTCCCTTCTCCTTGTAACACACATTCTAGGCATAGGGACAGAATCAATAAAGGCATGAAAGCACATGCTGTCTATATTCCATTTTTGTATATATTATTACACTCTCCCCCCACCCCCCCCTCCCATTCCTGGAATATATTCCCTCCTCACCTTTGCGTCTTGGAGAATTCTGGCTCCAAGCCATTTTCCTTACACTCTACCCTTACCCCCCTGTTGCTAGTGCCCTCCTCCACCTAAGTATTTACTTTACTCTGTCTGTGTGTTCTTCTGTGTACCTTTGTAAACTCCTTGAGGACAGAGACTATTTTGCTTTTTATCCTTGTATTTCCAGCACCTAGCATAGTGCCTGGTAAGCTCTTAATAATGCTAAATAGTGATGGTCAGAATCCTGTAGCTGTACCCAGGATGGATTGAAGAGAAAAGAGAGAAGAAGCAGTTAAAGCCAATAAAGAGGGTACTGCAGTAACCCAAGTGGGTGAGAATGAAAATTTGTGGCATCCTTAAGAATAGAATAGATGGACTGGATTTGAGAGATGTTGTAGAGTTAAAGGATATGGTAACCTTTGAGGTTATGAACATAGGTGACCAGGTGAATGATGATGGGGCCAGGGGTGGAAATAATTATGTCAGAAGGAGGAGCAATTTTGAGAAGAACAATCAGTCTTTGCTGAAGTATATCGTATATGGAGTTGTAGGTAAGGAGGTAATTTGGGGATGGGCTAGGAAGAGGATGAGAGGAGGGGTCTCAGGTGTCAGTATATGGTAATATATCTATGTACCCTAGGATAAGGTAAATGCCTTTCTCACGATGAAGAGAGGGGATGCTCAATCGGTGTCTAGTAACTGACTCCCCTGCTCTTCCCTACCCTTCCCACCTCCTAATTTGTACAAACCACCCTCAGGAACTGATACATTTTTGAACTGAAACATACCTTAGTGAAGCTCTTTTCAACTTCTCTGTTTCATTAGGAATCGTAGGCCCAGAAAGTAAGATGGTTTGGTCAAGGTCACATGACTAATTAGTTATATTAATAATCATAACTGACATTTTGTAGAACACGTTAAAGTTCGGAGTGGATGCTACAAATAGTGTTAACCCTGGTTTACAGATGAGGAAACCGAAACTGAGAGGTTAACTGATTTGCCCAGTCACGTAGCTGGTGTGTGAGATGGGATTTGAACCCTTATTTTCCTTACTACCAGGCCAGCACATTGCCTATCACACCAGGCTGCCCAGAACTAAAGCCTGGGTCTCTTGCCCCAAAGTGTGCACTCTGTTACATATCTTGTTTTAACATACTTCTGGCAACTGTTTTCTCCTCCGCAGTCTGTAAAATACTGAGCTTGGAGCTTCAGGGGGAGCTGAATCGGAGCAGCCGGTCTCGAGAGTTGCTAGAACTAGGGCAGGTGCTAGACACTGGCAAGAGGAAAAGACAAGTCCCCTATAGCACTTCGTGAGTCTCCTTTGACTATCCTTCTGTCATGCTTCATCCCTTACATAGCCCTATAAATCATTGCCTAACTTTCTTCATCCCCACAGTTCCCAATGAGTCAACTGTTTCTTTCCCATTGTCTCCCATCTCTCTCTCCCATAGGGAGGTTAGGCTGGAGGAGGCCCTTGAGAACCTGTGTGAACAGATTCTGGATTACAGCGTCCATGCTGAGCACAAGGGCTCCCTAAGATATGCCAAGGTAAAATAAATCTCCTCCCTGTGCTTGCCCTTTAATGGAACAAACCATCAAGGGGATCCCACAGCTCAATGGTACCGTTCTTTGTTCTTCCTTCTCCTAGAGCCCTTTGCCAAGACCTCTGCCCCTGGGATGTCCCATACCCTCTCCCATTCTGTCTCAGCCTTTGATCCCCTGTGGGTACTGCATTCCAGCCCCCAGGTTCAATGAAAAGATCCTGGTGTAGGGGGGATGGGGGGGAGGGAGGAGGAGAGAGAAATAGAGACAAAGGAGGCTGACCCTGCCAGAGTCCTCTGTCTCTTTCCTCCCTCCCACATCTCCCTCACCCCAGGGTCAGAGTGAGACCATGGCGACCCTGAAAGGCCTGGTACAGAAGGGAGTGAAGGTGGATCTGGGAATCCCTTTGGAACTGTGGGATGAACCCAGTGTGGAGGTTGCATTCCTCAAGAAGCAGGTAAGAAAATGTCACATGCCAGAAAGATGAGATGAGATGGGACATTCAGCAGGGTATGGACTTGAGCAATAGAATAAGACAATAAGCGCTGATCATGGGGGCGGCCAGAGACTGGGGCATAGACAGGACTGGACCCCTCTCCTGGAAGAGGATGTTGGGGGTAGGGGAGGAAGAGAGTAGGCAGAGGAGATTAGAAGGAATGGATTTGAATTTCTGAGAATTCTTCACCCAGAAGCAGAGATTCTGTCTGCCATCTTCCCTCTCCTTTCCTACTCTTCCCTCCCTGTCAGTGTGAGCTGATGTTGGAGAGCTTTGAAGATGTCATCGAAGACTGGTACTTCCACCACCAGGAGTTGCCCCTGCAACAGTTCCTCTGTGAAGGGCACGTGCTTGGGAAGGAGGAGATGGGTGAGTAGTCCAGGGGCAGGCTAAGTGTTGGGGCTGGAAATACAGGTACCTACCTGTATACTCACTGTCTGTTTTTTCATCAACCCAGATTGTCTTCAGGAAACCTGGACTGAGGAATCGAGAGAACAGAATGAAAAAGGCTTAGAAGAGAGCCTAGGGCACCACGCCCATGATGCTGCAGACCTCTGACCAGAATCAGGACCAATATCAACTCCTATTTTTCTAGATCACTATTAAAGTTTGTTTCTATATATGTATATGTCATGTAGGTATGAAGGTGATGTCACTTTTACAACTGTACCTTTAGCCAAGCCACATTTGGAGATTTGTCCACTCAGTGTGGCTGCTGGCTATGGTAGCTCATAAGGTAGGAGACAACAGACGTGAGTGGCAAGGCAAGGCCATGGTTGGAGGAAGCTATGGAGCTCCAAGATGTTTTCAGACTTGCACCCCACCCTGCACGTATGTCTGGTGGGGAGGTTTACAAGGCCAGTACCGTCTTGGCAGAGAAACATGTAAGGGAGGTTATGGAGGTCAACTTACGGAGGTCAGTAGCCATTAGTGCCTTTTCTGTGTGCTTTCCTTTTAACAAGGTGGAATAGGAAAGTGACCAAAATACCTAGAGGACCCCAGAAAGACTCTTTGCATGTATGACAGGTGCAGATACTATACCGAAGCCAGTGAGTATGTGAGAGCTTTGTCCCAGATTGTGGTCCTTAACTTGGGGTCTATGAATTTTTTCTTAATATTTTGATAATTGTATTTCTATATAATTGGTTACCTTTCTAATCTTATGTATTTTTAAAATGAATTTTTAAAACATTATTCTGAGATGGGATTCATAAGCTTTACAGTCTGCCAAAGGGGTCAGTGACACAAAAATGGTTCACAACCCTTGTCCTAGCAGGTGGAAGGGAAAATCGGGTTGAAGGCTGAGGAGGAGAGGTAGGAGTGTTAAAGATCCCATCATTTTGCAGAAAGGATAAATTAAATGGGCATAGGAGAGGGCCCCCACAACAGGCTGCTTTAGGATTGACCAGGGTGAATGGCAGAGTTTTATAAATAGCCGATAACCTCCATGCCCTTTTCTCTCTTCTGCCTTAGCTTAGAATGCTCCTGGCCATGAGCTTGCATGAATGGACAGACTCTGGATGGTGACTTCCCTCTGGGGATCTCTAGAGATGCCTATTCTGTGGTAGTCCTGCTTCTAGGATCGTCAGAGCCTTAGTAGGCTAGGGGTGCCCAGAGAACTGATGGCTCTGTCACCTTTATCATGTTCAAGGCCTGGGGCCTCATTCTTGAGAATCTGGACACAGGCCAATAGTAGCCCATAGCTAGGGAGACCTAAGCACCCAGGAGAAGGGGGCCTCAAGCTCTATCCTGATAGACACTGGGGCCTCCTGAATTCAGGAAGTCCTGTTGGAGACCCTAATACATAGGAAACTATAGGCTTATTCCCTGAAGTGCCATTCTAATTTCTGTAGCTGCTTTACGTACAGAGGCAGTGAGGTTTCGTAGTGGATAGAGTGCTTAGCCTGGAGTCAGGAAGACCTACATTCAGATCCAGTTCAGACATTTAGTATCTATGTGACCCTGAGCAAGTCACTTAAATTCTGTCTACCTCAATATTCCTCAGCTGTAAAATGGGGATCATAATAGCATCTGTCTCCCAGGTTTGTTATGGAGATCAAATGAGATGATATTTGTAAAGCACTCAGCACAGTGCCTAGAACATAGTAGGCACTTAAGAAATCCTTCCTCTTTTTCTCCTGCCGTACCCAGAAGCCTCTACCTATCATCATTGACTGAGGCACAGCTCTTGCATTTGGGCCCAGAACTAGAGGTAAGGGTGACTGTTTACCATGAAGGTGGCAGGGTTGTGATCATGGTGGTGACTGGAACAGCCTTTTGGACTGTGGGGAGGGTTAGTGATATATCTGAGAGGGAGGGGGATGGGGAGCAATAGCAGAAACTCAGCAATAACCTTGTGGCCCAGAGACAAAGCTGTGAGAGGGTACTATGTACTGCTGACAGGGTGGTATCTGGACATGAAGGACAACCTTTGGAAGTTTTAAGGGAGGCTAGGAGGCAAGAAATGGATGCTATGAAGAGCAGTGGACCATGCATAGGGATCAGAATCCAAGAGACAAGCACAAGAAAGGTCTTCTGGACCCAGGAACTGGCATCTGTACAATGGGCAGGTGCCCTGGGCACCCAATGCCCAAGAAAGTGGGAGGATTTCTGTAGCCCCTATTGTCACGTGACCAGAACCTTTGAGCTGAGGAGAAACTTTTATATCAACATTGCTTTCCCTTTTTCTCTGGTTTCCGTTGGCTAGTCGGAGGAATTAATGTAGTAGTGAGAGCAAAGATTCTTAAAAATGTGTTTTACCTCCCTAAGATCCATTTTACTGTCCTCTCATATAAAATGGGGACAATAATTGCTGCTTTCCTCACTGAGAGGGTTATGTGAGAGAAAAGATCTATAAGTACCAGAAAGCCAGGGTGTCCTACAAAAATGTCAGATACTGTGTTCCAAGATATCCTCTCATTCGTAGTAGAAACTGCCAGGTCGTATGTGATCTGGACTGTGGCTCCTTGGTGCTTGAACTATTTTCTGAATGCTCACGTACTTTTTTTTAAATATGGGAGCTGTGGATTTTGGCTGATATTCCTTGGACTTTTCCTTCTGGAGTTTCAATCTTCACTTTACCATCCAATTCTAAGAGAGGTGGACAGTTTTCATTAAGTGTCTAGTATTTGCCAAGCACCAAATAGTATCGAAGTAGATATCCTTGCGTTACTTCTATTTTTAGTGTGACACCCTTTGTTTCAGTATTTTGTATAATACCATCCCTTCATTTCAAATAAATATATTTTTTATCATTTTTAGGAAAATCCTACTATTCTGATACATTTTAATATTTTCAAAAACTTGAGTAGGCATAATACTTGTCAAGTCTTTTCTGAATATATTTGTTAATTATTATTAATGATTAGTTATTTATTGATTTAATTATTAGTATACTTTACTATTCTCATTGCTTTCCAAATCTTGAGCCATCCTTTCATTCCTTGTATAAATTCTCCTTGCTTATAATGTAAAATATTCTGATACATTGTTGTATTTATTTTGTAGAATTCTATTTAACATTTTTGCATTAATACTCAGTTTTAATATTGTTTTCAAGACCTTTTTTGCTTCATAAAAAGAGAGTACTATCTTTCTCTAGTCTTGAAAGCAACATATATATGTGTATGTAGATACATGTGTGTGTGCACACACATATATAAATGGTCAGTTGTCCATAACTCTTCATGACCCCATGGATCATATTGTCCATGAGGTTTTCTTGGCAAAGATACTGGAGTGGTTTGTGATTTCCTTCTTCAGTGGATTAAGGCAGACAGGTTAAGTGACTTCCCCAAGGTCACATAGTTAATAAGTGTCTGAGGTCAGATTTAAACTTGAATCTTCATGACTCTAGGCCCAGACTAAGCCATGTAGCTTCCCCTACACACACACACACACTCTTAATAAGTTTTTGTATGTTAAATACAATTATTTATATATGATATATATGTACTTTAGGTTTTTGACAAAATTCACTTGTAAATTGAGTCTATTTTTACATGGTTTATTTAAATTATTTTTTGTTTTATAAATGTGGTTATTTTGGATTTTTTTATATTTATTGGTTCTCAACAAAGTTCTAATCCTATGCCTTTTCATGGTGTAGAGGAGTCTCAAAGGCCACATCAGCAGAATTAGGCCACGTTAGACCTAACATGTTTTACTACACTGGAAAGGCCTTAAGTGTGGTAATGGTGATAAGCTGATTTTTCTGTCTGAGAACCTACTAGTTAAGTGTAGAAAGACTCGTCACTAGTAGATTAACCTCTAGGTGTTGAATTATTTTGCCATTGAAGCCCATGAAACAAAGAAAAATACAAAATGACCCTCAGTCCTGTGGCTTCCTTCTGAATCCACCATGATGAGGGTGGAAAAAGGAGCCAAGGGCACTCAAAATCAGTTTTTAGTTTATAGATGTTAACTTCAGTATAGGCACTCTAAATGTGAGATTTTTGTCCGTTGAAGTGATTGGAAGAAATTAATCATATCAGTGTTGATGTTCTTGTGATATATGAAACTAAGGATTATATGACTGGCAAGATGACAGAGTAGTCATTTTCTGCAAAGTTCTCCAACTCCAAAATCTCAAATTATGCACCAGGTATAGACTCAGCAGCTGAATCCATGAGATAAGACAGAAATGCCACAAAGGGCAAAGACCTAGTGGAATAACATCAGACATCTTAAGTAGTCAGAGGTCCCACTGAAGGTCCCCATCCCCAAAACAACCATATGCTGAATGGGACAGTAGACAGAATGTCTGCATGGTCCTCCCGCAGAAGTGATTCAACCTTACTCCATACAAGGCAGAAGACATTTATATTACTCAGCCACTCAAGGATAGGGGACTGGAGACGGGGGTAATAGAAGGCTCAGATAATAGAGAGTCTTAGACCTGAGGGAAAAAGAGCTTTTGTCCAGGAGAAAAAAAAAAAAGAATGAAAGCCAGCCTATTGGCAGAGTGTTTTTTCTGGTCAAGTACTGAGACTAAGGTTCAGAACCCATAACTGTAGGACTAGCTTTCAGGATCTATGCAGCACTGGAAGGAGGAAGGAGCAAAGAGGGTGGAGGAAAATCAGAGAATAAATTGGAAATACAAGAAAATGGGTGAAAGAAACTTATTTCAAAGGAAAAGTCCTGAGTAAAAACCTAGCTCACAAGAAGATAAAATAATGGAGTTGTCCATAAAGACAAGGAAAAATGAGAAAAAACTCAAAAGAGAGGCCAAAATATTTTAGTTTTGGTTAAGCAATGGGGTTAAGTGACTTGCCCAGGGTCACACAGCTAGTAAGTGTTATATGTCTGAGGCCAGATTTGAACTCGAATCCTCCTCAATCCAGGGCCGGTGCTTTATCCACTGTGCCACCTAGCTGACCCCTTTTTGTTTTGTTTTGTTTTGTTTTGTTGTTAAGGCCAAAATATTATGAACAAGTATACCATGAAAGGAACCAAAAATCCCACACACTCCCCGTCCTCCTACCCCAAGAAAGAATTATACAGATTCTCATAGAACAGTAGCAGGAAATAAAAATGACAAAACAAGAAAACATTAAGAATTAATTTAGGTTAGAAAACCTCGGTGTGGGATTGAAAAACAAACCAATAGAAGACGCTGAACATTCCTTTGGAGA